TTTGTACAGAACAAATCTGATGTGATACAGTCTGATCTTCTAACCAATGTCACAGTCTTCCCTTTGTTGAAGCAGATTTTGTACAGAACAAATCTGATGTGATACAGTCTGATCTTCTAACCAATGTCACAGTCTTCCTTTGTTGAAGTGGATTTTGTACAGAACAAACCTGATGTGGTACAGTCAGATCTTCTAACCAATGTCACAGTCTTCCTTTGTTGAAGTGGATTTTGTACAGAACAAATCTGATGTGATACAGTCTGATCTTCTAACCAATGTCAGTCTCTCTTTGTTGAAGTGGATTTTGTACAGAACAAATCTGATGTGATACAGTCAGATCTTCTAACCAATGTCACAGTCTTCCTTTGTTGAAATGGATTTTGTACAGAACAAATCTGATGTGATACAGTCTGATCTTCTAACCAATGTCACAGTCTCTCTTTTTTGAAGTGGATTTTGTACAGAACAAATCTGATGTGATACAGTCAGATCTTCTAACCAATATCACAGGCTTCCTTTATTAAAGTGGATTTTGTACAGAACAAATCTGATGTGGTACAGTCAGATCTTCTAACCAATGTCACAGGCTTCCTTTATTGAAGTAGATTTTGTACAGAACAAACCTGATGTGGTACAGTCAGATCTTCTAACCAATGTCACAGGCTTCCTTTATTGAAGTGGATTTTGTACAGAACAAATCTGATGTGGTGCAGTCAGATCTTCTAACCAATGTCACAGGCTTCCTTTATTGAAGTGGATTTTGTACAGAACAAATCTGATGTGGTACAGTCAGATCTTCTAACCAATGTCACAGGCTTCCTTTATTGAAGTGGATTTTGTACAGACTTTGTAAGTAGGATCTGTCAATGGTACATTTTGTGTGGCTCTAAATTAGCCACTCTCTGATTGTCCAAGACAGGTAATTTTTGGGTCTAGACATATAACTGACATCTCAAACTTGCCCATAGGGACAGGTAATTATTTATCACACCAGCACTGATGTAACACTTGCTATATGTTTCAGTCTGAGTTGTCTTATTTTGAAACAAAAAAAATAATTGTTGTCATGACCTATGATAGTTTTAATTTGCAGCAATACCATTTTAACTCGGGACTTGTTGAAGCTCGGTTACTATGTTGTATGAATGTGAGTTATGAGAGATACCTTACTCTGATCTGTTCTTGGTGTTGAATGAGTATCATGCACATTTATAAACATGCAGCAATGAGAATAAAGTAAATTAATAATGAAAATAAGTTTTTTAATCAGTTAGTTTTATTTTTACCAAATGAAATCAACCTATATATTAAAGTTTAATGCTAGTTTCACCAACCTCTTAATGTGTAATCTAACTAAATATAATATAATTTTAACAATTCACATGGACAGGCTATCATTGGATCGATACAAGTGAATTTAACCTATTTTTTGGACAAGTAGATCTCAAAATTTTGTCTAGGCCTGCTTTGTAGAAGAGATTTGGTATAACAGGTGTTGAAATTAACGGTGTCAGTTACGTGGTTAAAAACTAAAGACAAATACTTGTAACTTGAGATATTTTAGTACCTTTCTGAAGTTACAGAACAGAAGGTGCTTACACTTAACTTTAATAATAGGTGATCTCCACTATTTCATTCATCTGACCTTGTTTTAAGTTATTCAGTTAATATATATTATTCTCGATACCCATCTTTACTGGCCCCTGTTATTTGATAGACATAAAACAATGTTAAATAGTTCATGACATAGGCACAAGTAAGATTAAGAATATGTAACGACATCACAAAGATTACTATAAAATGAAACATCTTGTACCACCTAGTTTGGAGTTTTCAGGTTGTTAAAAGTAATGAAACGGAAACCAGAACCTATTTAGCTTTTCACAATCTTGTTTTGTGAGGACATCTTAGTCACTTCTGAACAAATGAATAGGTACATGTGAAAAAAAGAAAGTGGCTGGAATATTTCTATCAGTCACTTATGCTGATATGTTAACTTTTATTGTGAAAATATTTATTTTTGTCTTTCCGTAGAATAACGAAGAGTTGACCGAATTAACAACATCAATAGAACAACGACCTTTGTCACTTTGTACCCTGAATGTCCAGCAAGAGAATCGACACATTCGAGAACTTCAGCAGGAGAATCAAGAGCTGAGGTCTCTGGTCGAGGAGCATCAATCAGCACTGGATCACATCATGAGGAAGTACAGAAAACTTGTCACTTCTCTTCTCGAGGAGAACTCTGTGAAATGGGACAAACTGTGCAGCAGTGACTCAGAGGTATGTTTACAGCTGAAATTGTATTAGTTGATTACATTAATGTGTGAAATGGGACAAACTGTGCAGAAGTGACTCGGAGGTATATTTACAGCTGAAATTGTATTAGTTGATTACAGTAATGTGTGAAATGGGACAAACTGTGCAGAAGTGACTCAGAGGTATGTTTACAGCTGAAATTGTATTAGTTGATTACAGTAATGTGTGAAATGGGACAAACTGTGCAGAATTCGATGACGAGGAACCCACTTTGAGACTAATAATGGCTGGAGACGGCTTAAATGGGTAATGAAGAAAACTTTAATATAAGTTTAACATGACAGC